CATGGGCTAGTCACAGCATTTCTGTCTAAGTGCTGAATTTAATAACCAGAACAAAAATACCCATTTTGGTAGGACACTCTTTCAAAGTAGAAATCTAAGTAAAACTGAGGAGTATTTTTTGCAGAGTAAGAAGGGCAAATTAAAAACAAACCAGAGGCCTATGATTTGGCCAAGTTATTTCTCTCATCAAATGCAATAAAGCTTGTGATTATTATTATTTTAAAAATAAAAAGGGAAAGGGAAGAAAACAAACAAGTCCTCAAAACAGTGCTGCAGTTTTTGGAGAACAGTTCTTCCAGTGGTTTGTTTTAAAGTCGCAGCCTTTGCAATGCATTGCTCCCCTGCATAGAGCTCCTAGAATAGAACAGAGACATTTACTTCAGAATTGGCTCACTCTCGTTGGAATATAAGCAGTGAGTGTTCAAATACCCTGGACTTGGAAGTTGATTATGGTGACTTACCATGTTCTCACAGGAAAGCTGTCTTTTGTTTTTTACGTCTTACCATTTTACAGATTTCCTTTTTACAAACACACTGCACAATCGGAAATCCTGCCCACAGCCTTGAGATGCCCAGGAGACTGTGAGGCATTAAACATGAATTGATTTTCACAGTTCTGCCACCAGCATTTCTATATTTTGTTCTAGGCATGAGGGTGTTGCAGGAATCAGGATGCTCATCAGGAATTGGGGGGTTGGGGGTGAAGGTGGTGGACAGGGGTCACCTTTCAAAGTTAAATTATATGTGGGTGTCATGGTTTCTGATTCACATATCCTAACTGTGAGAGAAAGAATAAGGAGTAAATATTTAATTCTTCATAGGCCTGTAATAAATTTATTCACAGTTTTGCAATTTAAGTTATTTATGTTGGCTCTGAGATTTCTAATTATCATGCATTAGCCCTTTTCTCTTATGAGAACAGAATCTTGATTAGTGGGTTTGATGCCAATTAGAAGGTACTACCACCCTTAGTTCCTCTGTGGCGGCAGATCCATGGTGAGCTTGGGGTTTCTACAGCCAGTAAGCCTCCAGCAGTGGAGGAACATGCCAGTTCACCTTTTTGTAGGTACACCCAGTCTCTGCTCTCTGAGTTCCTCCATTAAATGCAAATGGTTGAAGGGAATGTTCTTGTTCTCTCACCATAAATGCTGAATCTTAACAGCTCCTCTCATTCCCTCTTCCCTCTCTAATCTCCTGCCAAGAGAGTCCAAAATGGTGCTACCACTTGGTCGAAGAGTGTGGCAGTTTCTCAAAATGTTAAACATGAAATTTCCATACAACCCCAGTACTTCCACTTCTAGGAATTTCTCCAGGAAAAATGAAATAAATATTTGTCCACACAACAGCTTATATAGGAATGTTTATAGTATAATCACTCATCGTCACCCAAAAGTAGAAACAACCCTGTGTGCATCAATGTGTGAGTGGATTTTAAAAATGCTGTATATCCATGTACTGGAATATTAATTGGAAATAAAAAGGAACAAAGTACTGATACATGCTATGACATGGGTGAACCTTGACATTATGCTTAGTGAAAAAAGTCCAGAAAGCTCGTTACCAAAGAATACATGCTCTATGATTCCATTTATAGGAAAAGGCAATATAGGGACGGCATTAGTCTGTTCTTTCTGAGACTGGGTAATTTATAAAGGAAAGAGGCTTAACTGACTCATAGTCCCACATGACTGGGGAAACCTCAGGAAACTTAAAATCATGGTGGAAGCAGAAGCAAACACGTGCTTCTTCACATGGCGGCATGAAGGAGAAGTGCAGAGTGAATGGGGAGAAAGCCCCTTATAAAACCATTCGATCTTGTGAGAACTCACTAGCATGAGAACAGCATGGAAGTAACCACCCCTATGATGCACTTACCTCCCACCAGGCTCCTCCCATGACACGTGGGGATTATGGGAACTACAATTTAAGATGAGATTTGGGTGGGGACATAGCCAAACTTATTCAGGGAGAGAAAGTAGATTAGTGATTGCTTAGAACTTGACGGGGGGAAGAGAAATGATTGTAAATTGGTAGAGAAATCTTTTGGGGTAATGTAAATGCTCTAAGATTTGATTCAGTGATGACTATACAACTGTGTATATTTGTATTTGGGTTATAATGGTATGTATGTATATGTATTGGATAATATAAATATATTTGTAATGGGTTGAATAGTATCCCCAAAAACTAATGTTCCCTCTAGAACCTTGGAATATCACCTTATATGGAAATAGAGTCTTTGCAATTATAATTCATTAAGAAGAGATCATACTGCATTAGGGTAGGTCCTAAATCCAGTGACTGGTATCCTCATACGAAGTCCATGTGAAGAGACAGAAACATTCAAAGAAGAATGTAAAGCATCTGAGGATAAAAACAGAGGCTGAAGTTTTGCTGCCACAAGCCAAGGAATGCCTGGGGCCACCAGAAGCTGTAAGAAGCAAGGAAAGGTTTTCCACTAGGGGCGTTAGAGGGAGCATGGCTCTGCTGTCAGCTTGATTTGGACTTCCACCCTCCAGAACTGTGAGAGAAGAAATTTCTGTTCGTATAAGCCACATGGATTCTAGTAATTTGTTACAGACACTCTAGGAAGCTAATACAATATTATGTTTACAACTGAATTGCACACTTAAAACAGGTGAATTTTATAGTATGAATATTATACCACAATAAAGCTGTTAATAAAAATAAAAAATTTTTCTTTTATAGGCTAGGGGAAGGGAGGGATCAGAACCAAAGGCTGGGGACATACAGCCAGTTTTGCTGCATCTCAGAAATGCTGGAAGAGGACTTTCACAACAGTTGTGAGCAACTCTCTTTGATATCCAGGACTCTTGGCACGTCTCCAATTTGCCTACTTCCCATATTAATTATCACACGGTCAGTGCTGTGGGGCACATCTCTGCCACATGGCTGCTGACTCTGGAGAAACTCCCAAATGTAGGTTCTTTTGTGGGTGTCCAGGCTACAGAACTGGTAGTATTTTGACATTTCATTGAATGTCTCAAATCTCTCTGGTAAGCCATGGGAAAAGACATGACCTGGTATGTGCCAGTCTTAGAAGAAGCCACAGTGTTTCTATGGACAAGTACCTTGGAAGGCTTACGAGGCAAGCGATCAAGAACATAGTCTGAGCTTGACCTTAGAAATGGGGAAAGGGAGCTTATTCATGTAATTGGGGCAATGAGATAAAAATCAGGTAAAAATATAATTATGTTTGATTAATTTTCAAACCTTTCTAGTCCTTTTTGACAACATCTTGTTCCTTTATCATATTTTAAAAGTATCCTTAAACATTCATACATAGTTATTTTTGCAGTCCGTATCTGACGACTCTATCATCTGAAGTCCTGGTGTTAGTTTTCTCATGTGTTCTTTAGTTTTGGGTTTTGAGCTCATGGCCAGCAGAGCTTTCTCTGGGTGCATTTCAGTGGGCCTGGAGAGAGGACACCTTCTTCTAGAGTATGTTAGCTTTGGCTAGGCTCCTCGGCCATCATCAAACTACAATCACCTGCATGTTAATTCTTTAGCATGAATCTGACTCCAGACCAGTTTTACAAATTCTCAGGGGAGAGATTATGTATAGCCAAGCCAATTTTACAAATTCTTAGGGGAGAAATTGTGTTTCTACATCTATAACTCAAGCTAAGACAGTTTCCTTCTCTCTTTGCCTTTGTGGATTTTTATTTTTTATTTTGTTTTTTGGTTACATATTTTCTGTTAAGATAGAACCCTTTGAGTAGCCTGGCTTTGGAGGTCTCACATTTAATGTTATGCCTCTCAGGTTGTCAAAGCAGCACCATTATATTCCCTCTGGCTTTTCACCATCAGCTTTTGTTTGTGTCTCTGGTTTTTCTCTCACTATCTGATAATCTTAGTATACATTTTAAAAGATATCCATTATATGCAGTCCAGAATTTCTAGGTGGCTTGTGGAATTGGGCTGGGATGTTGTGTCATCCATTGCCAAGAAAAGAAGTCAACATATTAATTTTGATGTGGAAAAGGAAACTTGAGAAGTTTCACAAATAAAGGTTTTCTTTTTCTCAGTAAATTGGAGGTGAGATTCTCTACTATAAGTTATGGAAGAGGGACAGGTTTGCGGTCTCCAGTGACTAATAAAGGTTTGCAAGGTTTATAACAACTGTGGGAGATGGGCATGGTAAAGAGTGGTTACAAGATCTGGTTAGCAGCAATAAGGGATTCACCTAAAGTTGACTAAAAGTGGAGGTTTCATCCCTATTGTTGAAAATGATAGATAGAAACATAGTTGATTCCAGAAAAAGGAGGACAGCCCTTCATGTGAAGTCTTTTCTATAGACAGAGCAACCAGTAACATCATTGTATTAGTCCATTTTCATGCTGCTAATAAAGACATGCCTGAGACTGGGCTATTTACAAATGAAAGAGCTTTAATGGACTCACAGTTCCATGTAGCTGGAGAGGTCTCGCGACCATGGAGGAAGGCAAGGAGGAGCAAGTCACATCTTACATGGATGGCAGCAGGTAAAGAGAGAGTATTTGTGCAGTGAAACTCCCATTTTTAAAACCATCAGATCTCATAAGACTTATTCACTATCATGGTAACAGATGGAAAAAAATCCACCTCCAAGATTCGATTACCTCCCATCAGGTTCCTCCCATGAAACATGGGAATTATGGGAGTACAAATCAAGATGAGATTTGGGTGGGGACACAGCCAAACATATCAATCATTCTATGTGTGCTAAGGGACATAGGCCATGGCCCTCAACAGGGTTGGAAGAGAGCAACGTGCCATGGGTATGAAACTGCATGGCAATTTCTGCCTGGGGCTCACTTACTCAAGTTTCATTTTTCTGCCACCTTTCCTTTATTTTCTAGTGATTTTTGCACAGCAGTTTCTTGAATAAATTGTATTTCAAAGAAATTTCTCTTGAGGTGTGAGTTACCTGAGTGTTTTGCCAGGGAAAATCAAGAACCTGCTTTGCTGAACACTTTGTGTCCCTCTTGGTTTTTCAGTTCCTGCAATGATAACATCCTATCCAAATACTACCCTGGCCACACAGGGGCAAAAAAAGGAAATGAGCTGCACAGCACATGGTGAGAAGCCCATTATAGTCCGCTGGGAGAAGGAGGACCGAATCATTAACCCCGAGATGGCCCGTTATCTTGTGTCCACCAAGGAGGTGGGAGAAGAGGTGATTTCTACTCTGCAGGTAAAAGCATGCCAAATACAACACAATGGAATGAACTTTATTGGAAGAATAAGTCTTTCCTTTCACACAAGTGGGTGCAGATAAGTAGCAGATAATCTTTTGGAATTTATTTATGAAGCACCATTTTTCTTCCCTTTCACACAGTGAGATTACTGAATGGCCTTCAAAAATAGTGCTTCAGCCTAAGTGCTATTAAGAATAGGATTATTATGAACACAGCAGGAAACACAAGTGTAATAAAAAAAGTAAGAAATAAGGTTTTTAAATGACAGTTAATCCTTGAGAACTGACAGCCTATGCTGTGCACATGTTTTAACTTCCTGCAAAAAGAAAAATGAGATGGGCTTTGGCCAAAAATATTATCATAAAAAATATCTTGCCTCTTCGGAAAAATCCAAAGTAAAAATATTCTGTCATTAAGAGAGGATCACAAAAGCTAGAGAAAAGCACTGTGAGTCATGAACTGGGTTGTGCTGTTATCATGGGGATGGAGGCTGATTCTGTAGCACACACAGGGAGGGTAGGTAGAGAAGCCCTGTGTTTGTAATGCTTACCTTGGCTCTCAAACAAGGGTCCATTCCTGGAATCCTGCTAGAACAGGGATCTGACGAGAGTCATGCTGTCCCCTAGCCCTGGCGGCAGTATATAATCTCTTTCTTTGGACATGGTTGCTTTCGATACATGAAACAAATGTATATGTAGGATTTATGTCAAGCTGACCACGATATCCTGCATAAATTACACATCCAATTTTATGAGCTACAGCTGACATGGATAATGCCCATGAATCCTATTCATCTACACACTTACAATTATACTGATATAATTTGTCCTCACTGGGGTATATACATGTGTGTGATTTAGTGTGTGAGAATGTGGAGGAATGGGGGTTGTGTGAGTGTGTGAGTGTGTGTGTGTGAGTGTGTGTGTGCGTGTGTGTGAGCGTGCGCTGGGCATGGCAGGGGAACTGAAGGAGTGGAAAGAGAGCTTTACAGCCAGAAGTCAATTTGCCTACTGTGAAAGATGAATTTCTTTCTGCTTTACACATAGATTTTGCCAACTGTGAGAGAAGATTCTGGTTTCTTCTCCTGCCATGCTATTAATTCTTATGGGGAGGACCGTGGAATAATTCAGCTCACAGTGCAAGGTAGGAAGATGATAGCGTAAGATAATAAACACAGCCGTTTCAGGACAGGAGCTGTATGCTCAGCCTCGGGCATCTGTGTGGCTTCAGCTTGTCATGTAACCCTTCCTAATTCCCAGGAAATTTTGAATATGTATCAAGTCAGGGCTAAAGCAGAATTTTGCAGTGCCTGTGATTATGTCAAAGTAAAGCCCCAAAATGGGGAACAAAGGCCTTCAAGGAACCAGTCAGGATGACAAGCCCATGATAGTCAAGCCCATGCACGTGCACACAAGTATAGCAGTGGAAATTTCTTTACTCAATTTTAGGAATCCATGTACTAGACGATCAGAATGAAAGGGAAATTCAACATTTGGGGCCAAAGTAGCTTTTGAGTTAGAGATCCAAGCTAGAATAGTGACATTTTATGTCCTCCAGGTTTGGTCCAGTTCTTAAGTGCTCGGAAGTCTTGGGAAAGTGAATTTTCTCCTCCCTCAAATGTGATTCAGAAAAAAAAAAAAAATGCTTCCAAATAAAAAGCGTCTGTTCTTGTCTAATGCAGACCAATCATTTGTGAGCCACGCTCAGCATTTCCTCTAGCGTTTCGTGTCAGAGGTCTGTGTGAACTAACTCTGAGTCTTTCTGTTGATGGCGCAGAGCCCCCGGACCCTCCCGAAATTGAGATCAAAGATGTCAAAGCCCGCACAATTACGCTCAGGTGGACCATGGGGTTTGATGGAAACAGCCCCATCACCGGCTACGATATTGAATGCAAAAACAAATCAGGTAAGTTCTTTATTTCCTCCAGCTTCATTTCCACCTCAAAAAGTTCTTTCATTTTTCTCCTTGTTAGTGTAATTTACCCGTAAGTGCACAGCTCAGCTCACGGGAGCTCAGAGGACACCATTTCCACCAGTCGGTCTCCCTCCTGGCTTTCCGCTGTGGGAGTAGAGTTTCATGTTGAGGCTCAGCTCTGCTTCTTTCTTTTGGAGTCAGCCCAGCCTTCAGTCATGCTTCCGGCTGGACTCCTTGACGTTGCAGCCACCTGTCGGCATGTCGGCGAGGCTGATGAAACCAGGCTTCCACCATGACCTTTTCTATCTCACCTGCTCCCTTCACTTCCTGTTTCCCCAGTTGGAGTGACTTTTGTAGAGCCTGATCCCATGTCCTTCACCCAGAGTGCTGAGCTCTAGCTGTGCTCGGTGTCTGTCACATAAACTGTGCAGTGGTGTTTGGTGCAGGAAAGGAAAAATTCATTCCTGGAAATGCCCAGGGACCATCAGAGACACTGGCTGCTGCACCTGGGACCACTCAGCCCAGAGCCCATAAATAAAACTGACCCCACTGCCAGGGCCACTGCAGGTGTGCCCTTCATTGTCTTCAAGATTAATGTCGGGCCATTTTGAACTTTATGATGCATCAGGCGAGGGTAGAATACCACCACTGTGGCCTCTAGTCAGAATTTTCACTGTGTCTCATAAAAGATATGAGGGATTCGAGCACCACCAGCGTGGAAAGGGTTAATAAAACCCTTACTGACCACAAAAGTGGCTTTAGTTTTCACTACCTGGGGATCGCACGTTATTTCAGATTACCCGGTTATGACCCATTTAGGATCTTTGGCACGAAAGCTGTAGAAAACAATCAAGCTCAAAGCAACTGCGAGCCACAGGTTAGGAGTGAGGAAATGTTTCAGCAAGAGCAAGCCAGGCACAGGGCCAGGAAATGGCGACTGGGAAGGAAAGCGGAGGGGTGGCTCTTTAGAAACTCCAGAGAGCATCCATGTCCCTACAAAGGACACGAGCATCATTCTCAGCAAACTGACACAAGAAGAGAAAATGAAATACCGCATGTTCTCACTCATAGGCAGGTGTTGAACAATGAGAACACATGGGCACAGGGAGGGGAGCACTACACACTGGGGTCTGTTGGGGGGAATAGGGGAGGGACAGTGGGGGGTGGGGAGTTGCGGAGAGATAGCATGGGGAGAAATGCCAGATGTGGGTGAAGGGGAGGAAGGCAGTAAAGCACACTGCCACATGTGTACCTATGCAACTGTCTTGCATGTTCTTCACATGTACCCCAAAACCTAAAATGCAATTAAAAAAATAAAAAATAAATAAAAAGAAAAAAAGAGAAACTCAGGAGAGTAGAACTTGAAGATTGAGAAGACAGTGGATCAAAGCAAACATAGTGTTTTGAAAAGTAGTGTCTGTGACTTGCAGGGTTGGAAATGCACATAAGAAAAGATGGAGAGGCCATCAGCCTCTGAAGTGCAAAACTAGGGATCTAGAAGTGAGGTGTCACATACACAAGGCCCAAAGAAGGGCCTTCCAGGGGCTGATTGGACTACAAGTCTCACTTTAGCTGAGAAACACTGCAGAGCCAGGGCCCTGGGCTCAGGGGTGAGGGGCAGTGACCTGGGGGGCTCGCCCAAGACATTGCTGAGCTAAATGAGTATTTTGAGTGGATGAGGATGAACAAGATTCCCAAGGGCCCAGGGAGGAGAGGCTGACCTTGCCTTTATTCTAAAGAAGTAGAATTACAAGTTCACAGACGCAGGTCTTGAAGTGAAGCAGGTGCTTCTTAGGTGAGGCAATTACATTTGAGCAGAAACTGGCCTGGAACCTGTTGACAGTGATGAGAGCTCAGACAGATGCGATGAGCACCCTGGGGACAGGGACAGCCCTTTATCTCACTGGCTGCGCACCGGCTATGGTGCTACAGGCTGCCTGTGCTGTTGATGCTGAGCACACAAGTGGCCTCCCCTCGTGGAGCAGCTCAGGACCACCCCCGTCCTCAGGAAGGATCAGGCATTGCCGGGTGCTGGTGGCAGGCCCAGGCTCAGTGGTTTGGGACCCAGCCTGTGTGGGATTCGCTGCTAGGCCTGTGTCACACCAGCTCTGCACCTTCACCTGCTCCCCTCATCTGTGAAGTGGTTATCACTGCATCCACCTCAAAGGACTGGCAAGGAGACCACAAAGGCCACCAGCTGCCTTCTGCCTCAAGTCCTCCCTTCCCTGGACCACCCAGTTACTACCCTGTCCTTAGATCCCACATCTCAGCTGCTCACTCAGCTCCATCTCCCTTTCAATCCGGGCCTGTGGCATTATGTGTCATATACGTACTTCTGTGGTTACTGACAAATATACTGATTAATTTCACCTCTACCATGCTAGAGGCTCCTTGGGGGACCCCTCCACCTAGTAGGTCTATTTTCACCCAACTCATTTCTCCAACACCCAGCACCACACCTGACATATGGAGGCACTCAGTGGACGTTGGTGAACCCTGAGAAGGGGAGACGTTGTAAACGCTTTCCTCATTGTCCAGAGCATGCTCAACGACTAATAGGTGGTAGTTTGTAGACTGTTCCAGTATGCAGGAAAATGCTTTTCAGTAAAATGCCTCTAAAACCCTCTATGTTAGTTAAACTACTTGCTCAGCATCTAGGAGTCCTCACTGTCTCCCCACTCCCTAGGGGGTTCCCAAAGGCAGGAACTCTGGTTCTCTGTGTCCTGAGGTCCCCAGCACCCAGCACAAGGTCTGTCAAGTGAAGAGTGTACTTAAATGTTTATGGCATTTAATTTACATGCAGTTGAAATATAAAAATCATTATTATCCACAGCATCTTCAAATGTATAAAATGATCATGGTTTATATAACCAAATCAGGAAAGCTCCTTATCTATAAAGCCAAGTACAGAAGGGATTGAGGGAGAGTCTTCCCATCCTTCATGCTCTACTTCACCCAGAGACAGGGCCAGCGGTATGGCTAAGATGTTTACGCAGCCCTGGAGCAAGTCATTTTAAGGGTCAGCATGGGTCCCAGGAGAATTCCTGGGGAAAAGCCCACAGGACAAGCAGATCCAACTGCATGACTGAGGTCTCCACCAGGAACCTACAGAACTTCCATTACTTTCAGTTGGGAAGCCCTGGGAGGAAGGAGCTATGCTGACAGTAGATAGCACCTGTACTCACTGCTGTTCGAGGTGTGTTAATCAGATTTTTCACGTATTAGTTGCTTCCTCAATATACTTTTGGTGTGTAAAAATTACAACCACAATTTAAGTGGGTGCAGTTTTAGACTGAGTACATAGAAAACAGATCCTTCAAGTATTAATAACAGCCTAAATGTCACTTCCTCCAGAAAGCCTTCCCTGACTACCTACCTATTCCCCTTCACTATTCATAGCATGCCTTGAACACTTGGTGGGCTCATGACTATTAATTTACTATCTGTGCCCCATGGGACAGTTGTTCACCTATGGGCCATAGTGAGTCCTGAAGGCTGGGATTGTGTCTGACAAACCCTATGCTACGTTCCTGCACCCCTCATAGTGCCTGGCACGTATCCTAGACTCATAATAACCATGAGTCAAATTGTTGATGCTTAACCCCTGTTTTAGGCAATGGTGAAATTATAGCCTCAAAAGTTTTCCTTTACTTTTCATTACTTTTCAAAGAAAGCAGCATATTACCAATGTATTAAAATACTTCACATGCTTAACCAAAAGCACTTCTACAAGTGACCATTCACTCTATACTTGAACAATCCTAGACATAGAGACTCGCTAACCCAGGAAGGACAGCTCTGCCTTTGACCAGCTGTGGCTGCTACAAGTTCTTACATTTATTGCACCAAAATAGACCTTCCTGGATCCAGCGGCTCTCTTCCCATCTCTAACCCATTTGGCCAAATGACAGTCCTCTCAGGATTTGACAAAAGATGATTTTCCTCGGTTTACTGTTTTCCAGGAAATGCTGAACATCCCAAGTCCTTGTTCTCGTGTCTCCTGCCACCCCCCGACTCTGGTCATGCCCAGTGACAGCACCAGAGGCATCATCCAGCCAGGCCCAGGCACAGGGAAGCTGTGGCTTCCTCATCTGGAATCTTCTTCTTCTTCTCTGCAGCTGGCAATTGCACAGGCTGCTTTGGTTGCCACATTTTCTGACTCCCAGGGACTGCTGCTTCTCCTCTACAGGACCCCAGCCACCTTTAGCATCCTTTACATCATCTTGTCCGGGACTCCAGCAGATCTGTCTGCAGTTTGCTGCCTCCCGTTATTCTCTTCCTTGGAAGGCAGCCTGCCCTTCAGAGTCTGTTTCTCTGGTGGCCCTCCTGCCCACGGTTTCTCTGGTGTCCCATTCTGTCCCCAGTTTCTCTGGTGTTCCCTTCTGTCCATGGCTTCTCTGGTGGTCCCTCCTGTCCCTGGTTTCTCTGGTGGCCCCTCCTGTCCCCGGTTTTTATGGTGTCCCCTTCTGTCCATGGTTTCTCTGGTAACCCCTCCTGTCCCTGGTTTCTCTGGTGTCCCCTTCTGTCCCCGGCTTCTCTGGTGACCCCTCCTGTCCCCAGTTTCTCTGGTGGCCCCTCCTGTCCCCGGTTTCTCTGGTGTCCCATTCTGTCCCCAGTTTCTCTGGTGGCCCCTTCTGTCCCCGGTTTCTCTGGTGTCCCATTCTGTCCCCAGTTTCTCTGGTGGTCCCTCCTGTCCCCAGTTTCTCTGGTGGCCCCTTCTGTCCACGTTTTCTCTGGTGTCCCCTTCTGTCTATGATTTCTCTGGTGACCCCTCCTGTCCCCGGTTTCTCTGCTGTCCTCTTCTGTCCCCAGTTTCTCTGGTGTCCCCTTCTGTCCATGGTTTCTCTGGTGACCCCTCCTGTCCCTGGTTTCTCTGCTGTCCTCTTCTGTCCCCAGTTTCTCTGTGTCCCCTTCTGTCCATGGTTTCTCTGGTGGCCCTCCTGCCCATGGTTTCTCTGGTGGCTCCGTCCTGCCCACAGTTTCTCTGGCGGCCCCTCCTGTCCCCAGTTTCTCTGGGGTCCCCTTCTGTCCCCGGTTTCTCTGGTGGCCCCTTCTGTCCATGGTTTCTCTGGTGACCCCTCCTGTCCTCAGTTTCTCTGGTGGCCCCTCCTGTCCCCAGTTTCTCTGGTGGCCCCTTCTGTCCATATTTTCTCTGGTGGCCCCTCCTGTCCATGGTACCTCTGGTGCCTCCCTCCTGTCCATGGTACCTCTGATGCCTCCCTCATAACCCTGGTTCCTCTGGTGACCCCTCCTGTCCACGGTTCCTCTAGTGGCCCTTCCTGTCCCCAGTTTCTCTGGTGGCCCCTCCTGTCCCTGGTTTCTCTGGTGGCCCTTTCTGTCTATGATTTCTCTGGTGACCCCTCCTGTCCCTGGTTTCTCTGGTGTCCCCTTCTGTCCCCAGTTTCTCTGGTGTCCCCTTCTGCCCCTGATTTCTCTAGTGGCCCCTCCTGTCCATGGTACCTCTGGTGCCTCCCTCATATCCCTGGTTCCTCTGGTGACCCCTCCTGTCCATGGTTTCTCTAGTGGCCCTTCCTGTCCCCAGTTTCTCTGGTGGCTTCTTCTGTCCCTGGTTTCTCTGGTGCCTCTCTCCGGTCCACAATTTCTCTTGTCCCTCCTTCCTGTCCAGGGTGCCTCACAGGTCTCTGACCAGGCTTCAGAAGCATGGCAAGCTCCATCACACCCTGGAAAGTAACCAGGAAACACAGACTGACACAGAAGGTGCATTCCCCCAGTCCTTCTCTTCTCTTGGGCTTCCAACCCCTAGTTCACCCTGAGGACTGTTATCCTTGAGAAGAAGACTGAGGGAAAGGAGTTTTCCTGTGTCCCCACACCTCCTCCTATTCCCCAATGTGGAGGACCTGCTCCTTCTCCCAGCTACCTTTCCATTGTTAATCCTTTTATGTAATCCACCTCCAGAACTTTCAGTCACCCTCACTAATTCTGGTCTTTAGCCTCTAACAGCACTTCTTCATATCAGGTCCACTCTCTTATATTAGTCCTTGTTGCTCTTGTATCCACTGGATTTGGGGTATCTGACCTCCAAGGTGAGCTCCCCAGCTAGCACCCAATGCAGCCTCATGGTGCCTGTCAGCTCCTCATTCCTTCCTCACAGCACTTCCTTGGAATTGCAGAGGCTGCAGTGGGACTCTGAACTTCCCCATTCTCCTACACCACCAGTTTCCCTGGAGCAAGCCATGGCAGCCTCCCCACTCTTTCGATGAATGCTTCTGATAAGTTCTTCCTAAACCAGTCTGCAACTCTGAGCCCATACAGCCCTCTCAGTCTTCCTGCAAACCCACAGATGGTACAATCATACTTGGCCAAAATGTTCTTCTCTTGCCTTTGACCAAACGATTTCTCTGCATTGTCAAGTCAATAACTTGTTAGAAGGTCTTCTAAGCAACTGACACTTTCAGCAGGTGCCTGGAAATATTAAAATCCTGTCCCATTAGGTGTTTTCAGAGACTATGTGGAGGTCATGCATTATGGAAAAATGACCTTGAGCTTGGAGATAACACAGGTGAGGCCAAATCCCAGCCTTTCTTCTTAGCAGCTGTGTAACAGGGCTTCCATTTCTTGACTGTCACTAAGGAAATAAAGGCCTTACCTTGGTAGGATGTTGTAAAATTTTAATCAAATAAAACAGTCTGTCCAAACTATACATCAGAATGACCCAGATAGGGAGCCTTTTTAAAAGCACAGGTTTCTGGGCGCCATTCCTCAGAGACTCTGGTTTAGTATGTCTGAAAGCAGAACTGTCAAAAAGCCCAAGGTGTTTCCAATGTGCCCATAGATTTGGAAGCCACAGAGTCATGTTTTAAAATGCCCAGCACATTGCCTTGATGGGAGGATGAAGCTGAAAATTGACATGTAAATATAACTAGGAAGAATGCACTGTTGACCAAATAGAGAAAATCTTAGGAATAAAGAATGCACACACAGAAATGTATGCATGGACATCCAAGATCTGCAGAGGTGAGTGTGGGTGGGGAGAGTCTGGGAAGGCCACGGACAGGGCAGAGGCAAGTGTGGATGGGGAGAGTCTGGGAAGGCCATGGACAGGGCAGAGGCGAGTATGGATGGGGAGAGTCTGGGAAGGCCAGGGACAGGGCAGAGGCGAGTGTGGATGGGGAGAGTCTGGGAAGGCCAGGGACAGGGCAGAGAGGCGAGTGTGGATGGGGAGAGTCTGGGAAGGCCACGGACAGGGCAGAGGCGAGTGTGGATGGGGAGAGTCTGGGAAGGCCACGGACAGGGCAGAGGCGAGTGTGGATGGGGAGAGTCTGGGAAGGCCACGGACAGGGCAGAGGCGAGTGTGGATGGGGAGAGTCTGGGAAGGCCACGGACAGGGCAGAGGCGAGTGTGGATGGGGAGAGTCTGGGAAGGCCACGGACAGGGCAGAGGCGAGTATGGATGGGGAGAGTTTGGGAAGGTCATGGACAGGGCAGAGGCAAGTGTGGATGGGGAGAGTCTGGGAAGGCCACAGACAGGGCAGAGGCAAGTATGGATGGGGAGAGTCTGGGAAGGCCACAGACAGGAAGGGTGAGGATGGGTTTTGTAATGGGTCCCCCAGCCCACTGGAGGGAGTGGGTGGTGGTTTCTACAGACACAGACCAAATGCAGCATCAGAGAGGGCTTATAAGTCACACTGGGAGATTATTGTACAAGGCAGTGTCACTGAGATATGGGCTGAGCTAAAGAAACCTACAGGGCATGGATGTGGAAGTGCCCAGTGACCACCAAGAGGGGACTGTCCCTCCCTACCCAGGTCTACCATATGCCTTGGATTGGTGTAAGGGAACTGCAGTCATGGACACGCCTCTCCAGGCTGTCTGCAAACTCCCACACAAAAACCACCAGTGAAAATAGCTGTATCTTCATTGACCCCATCAGTCCCAGAAAATTCCATGTTGCCTGGGCAGAGGCATCTACGACCACAACTGTCTACCTCCTCCTGGGGCTACTTAGCAAATGTCTCAGCATCTTGCAGCACCTGGCATTCCTCCCCATCCTCCTAAACATCTCTGCAGGAGGCCTGGCTTTCTCTCTGTGGGGCAAGCCCCACATTGGTGTGTGTCATTGCATTGATACAAAATTTCCTTTCCTCATTTGTCTTCCATTGAATCACATTCTTCTCCTCATAAATGTTTTTCCGACTCTTCTCTTTTTATTCCATGTTCTTCTACCTCGAATCTTGATTCAAAATATGCTTTTTCCTTGTAACTGCAATATTGGCAGCTTGTATTAGGCTCCATTCTCTGAGGAGGTAAAGCATCAAAAAGCAGTCTTTAAGCCACATATTTTTTCTTTAATTCCAGAAAATCTCTTGCATTTACGTTTACATCTGGACAGAGAAGTCCCCCAAACGGCCATACTCACCCTTAGTGTGACAAAGTGATCGGCCCCAATCCCAAGACTCAGAGGTCCATGTATTTGTGGTTTATTTATCTATTAAACGTTAATATACTATTTATCCACTGTGAGCCAGGCACTGTGCTAGCAATGGGCATAGAAGACTGGGTGTGGCCAGCATGGCCTCTGCCCGCCTGGAGCTTCAAGTCCAGCAGGGAATACAGGTTATCCATGGCAGGCTTACTTGTGTGGTGAGCACCACCAAGGCAGACCCTGAGGAGGATGGGAATATGTAGGCATCATCTCCATCTACTGTCTAGGAGTCTCCTTTGTTCATCCCCAGCCAAAGCCAGCTGTTGACCACCCACCCACAATCAACGCTGCCCAAACCCTTTTGATATAAGAACCATGTACTGACATTCTCATCCTTGTCTGAAGCCCTAAAATCAGCAGATACAAAATGTCGCAGAGTCGACGATAACATTTCACACGAACAGGTGCTGCTGTTACAATTAGCTATGGTGGAAAAATAATTCCTACAACCAAGGATTTGGCACTAAATGATTTCAAGAACGTAGAATTGCAAAATGTGTTTGGTGATCAGGATTTATCCTGGAATGAGATTGGTTTGTACAGGATCATCTTATTTTTACCACACTCTATATGAGGAGGGAAGGATCTGGTATAGCTTGAAGTTTTGCTGGTTTTCAAAACCTTTTAGAACCAGGGATTTTGGAGGGACCCAGGGGTACCATCCAAACCATAGTTCATCGTACTGTCCTGTACAGTGAGTGCTCACAGTGGTCGTCGTCCACTCCACTGACCTGAGCTTCCACCACTGGAATTCCCCTTCTGTGATCTCCCCCAGTCCACTGACCTGAGCTTCCACCACTGGAATTCCCCTTCTGTGATCTCCCCCAGTCCACTGAGCTGTGTTTCCTCCACCGCCCCTCCCTGAACTCTCCTGACTTGTTGCTCCATATCCCTCGCAGCGTGGATAATGAGTGTGGGATGCCACATCCCCTCTGATAGCCAACTCTGCCAGAAAGCTAGGAACATCATATTGAGAAATCGCTTGGATGTAATTTTTTTTTTTTTTTTTTGGTTTATAATTCCTACTTGTGAATTTTCAAAGGCAGAGGAAAAAAACTCACATCTCTATCTCTTCTTTTTTGAAAAACAAAACCCAAAAGACTCCTGGGATTCTGCTCAGAGAACCAAAGATGTTTCCCCTCAGCTGAACTCGGCCACCATCATTGATATCCACCCTTCCTCCACCTACAGCATCCGCATGTACGCCAAGAACCGGATTGGCAAGAGCGAGCCCAGCAACGAGCTCACCATCACGGCGGACGAGGCAGGTACGTCGGACCGGGCAGCATCTTGCTCTGGAGGAGCTCGGGAGCTAACTCTTTAGGGCTCAGATGCTTAAATGCAGAAGCAGACCTTTGCCCCTGCTAGGTGGAGGTCTTTGATGAGTGCTCTCCATAGTTCTGTGCCCTATAAAAAACGCAGACAGCGCTCTGCATCTTACTTTGAAGGCACTGCTCTTCAAATAGGATTTAGTTCAAGTTTCCCATATCCAAGACTTAAAAGAAAGACATATGAGGCTAACAATCTGGTGAAATTCAAAGAATCATGCCGTTTTACAATTCCTTTGTTTGGACACATGGAATCCAGGTTGACAGGAGAACCGTGAGTGTATTTCTTGCCTGAGACCCTGTGAAGTCCAGTGTGGGGGGAAGGAGCAATGCTTCACTAAGAATCTGTGTGGGAGATGTGGGAAGGGGAACAGATTATTGAATTGACTGAAAACATCAACATTTAAAAATAATTTTTTTGCTCTTTTTACCATTACAAACAGCACTGTATTTAGTGTTGCAAATTCAGCAGATAGAGATAAGCATGTGGAGAAAGCAAAATAGCTTCCATCATTTTCCCACCTAGAGGTAACCCAGGAACAGGCAGATATAACAAGTTAAATAATTTCATCACCCATACACGTACATCCACACAGGCACTCACCATATATCCACACCCCTTAACACGAAGTGGACCACTCATGGTTCCTGGGGGTGAAATTAACGGGTGTGCAGAGAACTGAGCAATGAGGCAATGGTCCATGAATGCTGATTGTCAACCTGCCTCCTGGCAAGAAGAGAGGAAGCCCCTGTGCTTGGGTTTCTCCCAGGACACAAAATAAGAAGGGCATGCCTGGCTCATTTCTTGAAGGGAAAAAGTGTCCAGCTCCCAAACCTACCTTTTTTTTCCTGTCCACCATCGGTGCAATCAGCCACTCCCTGCTGCAGGAAAGCTGGCACCTTAGTCTCAGATCCCTGTTTCTCTGTCACCAAGATTAAGGGGATTGCCATACCCAGATGGCTAACAGAAGACCGGAGATTTGTTCCAACTTTCAGTAGAGGTTGTTCTTGGCTTCCTTCCCACCACCTCATCTCTGCTACCCTCAGTGACAGCATCCCAAATAGAAATCGAGGTTGTGTATGTCTTAAGTACTTTTCTACAATTCGTAATGATATCTCTTACCATATATTTAACAGATCTCATATTGCCAAACAAGTCAATTATTTTCAAGTTTTCATTAATATAAACACCACTACAGTGGACATCCTAGTGGTATGTCTTTTACCATTTCCAAGATCATTTTCTTGAATTAAATCCTAAGGAGTCGATGGCTGGATCAACCAAATGCAACATTTTTACACTTCTGATATTTGTAATCAATGTTGTCTTCAAGAGAATGGGTTAAAATGTACAATTCTTCCTCAGCTGCAGAGGAGTGCCCATTTCTCAATGCTGGAAGACGTTAGTTCTTGAAAATTGTTTTCAAGAGTGAGTGACAGAAGATCTTTATGCTGAAGTGCCTGAGAATGAGCCATTTCTGAGACTTGGATTCTCTGTATGATTTCTCATGTGCAAAATGGACATTACGATGCCTTGTTCCTTACACAGACATATCTGATCACTGAAAAAAATCGCAAGCTCTAAAAGCTCATGTCTCAGAAAGAAGTAGGAAATAAGTGTTAATCTGCTCCTGCAAAAATAGAATTGTATTTAATTATGTATGTAAACAACCCACTAGCTTCCTCAGATCCCTGGGCTTTCATTATGCTGGATACTTACAGAGAATAAGCTGTCCTCATCCTTCAACCCAAAATGTCATCTCCGACTTCCTGCTCAATCTTCTCGTTCCCTCTCAATGCCTTTTATAATCCCACCCCATCCCAGCCACCTCCTCAGGAAAACAGCATTTTTCGGGGGGTGCATGTTGCACCTGCTTTACTGATTGCCATTATTAATGCTGCTGCTGTTGCTTTTTTCTTCGTTTCCTCTGTGACCTCCACTGCGGCTGGCAGTTGCCATGGCAGCAGCTCTCTCCCTGCCAGAAGGCCAGGTGAACAGCCTCCGGGGTGCTGGTCTGCAGGGCAGCTGCCTGGCATGTCTGCAGACAGATGCAGACGCCGCCTCTTTGGCTCCCCGACTGGCCTTTTGTATTGTATCTGGGTGCTGGCTGTGGCAGCCCCACACAGCCTCTCTCCTTTCATATTCAGAGGAGCTAAGGGGAAATGAAAGAAAGGAGCAGCCTCCAGAAATGGAAAGCTGCAGCAGAGAACTTGTCTTTGTCTTGGAGCATAGGTTTGCATGACTGAAATTAGAAAGGCAGTTTCCCATGTGTGACTTACCTGCAATGGAGTGCGACTACTCTGGCCAAATGCATCCTTAGTAGAGTGTTCAGCAGAGGCTGGAGACACTGCCTCCACTCCCCAGCAGGCGAACCCAAAGGCACATCTTTTTAGGAGCTGTGGCTATCTTGAGGTGACCTTGCCCCACGCTTCCCTTGCTCCTCATATGGGAGCCTCTGGAAGCTGTCGGCCCATTCACTTTTGCTGTAATATAGTACCCAAGTCTTGGGCACATGAGGATGCCTCCCCCAATGCTACTACTTGGCAATGACTCAGTGACTCCACAGAGCCCAACGCCCAGCACCAACCTACCTTTTCATGCTCCCAAACCCTACTGTTGTGCTTCTTCCCTTGTCTGGAAGGCACTACAAGTTCCATGTCCCCTTTTCTGTGCTCTTCCTTGAAAAGCCAAGTTCAAAGACGCCTTCCTCCCTAGTGCAATGTCTTTCTCCATCTCCTGAGTACAGTTAGTGACTCCTCAGCTCAGCACAGAGGAGGGATTTTACTGACAGTAACCTTGAGGCATATCATCATGTCTCCATGGACCCTGTTGTCCATGACATGGCGGGGGGGCTATGAGCCCCTCCACATCAGGAGTCATGTGCACTCACACTTCTGTCCCTTGTGTGTGTCTGGCATAAGGGAGAAGAACATGTGAGATGACCAGTTATAAACATTACTCACGGTATTGCCTTTAGAATGGGTGCCACGATGGGCAGAGTATGTGCGTGTGCACGTTTGTTGAGAAAATATATCCTGAATTAAACCCACACTGAAATTCTGAAGGGTGCTCTGGTCTGAATGTTCATACCTCCCCTTTCAAATTAATATCTGGAAACCTAATTCCTAATGCAATAATATTAAGAAGTGGGACCTTTAGGAGGGTGGGTGGACCCATCATGAATAGAATCAATGCCCTTATAAAATAGGCCCAAGGCCCAGTAAGATCACTCACCCCTTCTGCCACGGGAGGGCACAGGGAGAAGGCACCATCTATGAACTGGAAGAATGAGCCCTCACCAGACACCAAATCTGGCCTCTTGATTTTGAAATTCTCCACCTCTAAAAATACATTTCTGTAAGAAATGAACTTCTGGGCCAGGCACAGTGGCTCAAGACTGCAATCCCAGCACTTTGGGAGGCTGAGGCAGGGGATCATCTGGGGTCAGGAGTTCGAGACCAGCCTGGTTAATGTGGCAAAACCCTGTCTCTACTAAAAATAGAAAATTAACCAGGTGTGGTGGTGCGTGCCTGTAATTCCAGCTACTCAAGAGGCTGAGGCAGGAGAATGGCTTGAACCCTGGAGGTGGAGGTTGCAGTGAGCCGAGATCGCGCCATTGCACTCCAGCCTGGACAACAAGAGAGAAACGCCATCTCGAAAACAAAACAAAACAAAAACGATGTACAAACTATGCTTAGTTCAAGGTCTATAGGTGACATTTGGCTCGCCCACTGTAGTTTGCTGACCCTTCAATGCATGGAGAATGGGAGCTATGGCTCACTGAGGGTGTAGAGTCAGACTCTCCACACTTCACTCTGGCTCATTGCTACCAAGCAGGAACTCAAGAGGAACTCAAAATTTAGATGTTGAGCCGAAATTTCCAGATTTTAAAAATTAACACTGAATTTAGAAGTTTGGCACAACACTAAGCAGAACTCACATCCACAGGCCTGGTCTGTTGTAGGCTGTGGTTTATGGCCTGGGAAGTGCGCTATTCCTTCAGGATGGGGGAGGACATCTCCAGTTCCAGAGGCAACCATTTCATGGTTGATCACTGGAGCTGTGATGGGGGCTGTATTCTTCCCCCATCTTCTTTCCCCTCGGCTTTCCTGTCCTATCCTTTCAGCTTTCTCTACTTTTCTTTATGAAATTTTTGTCTTCTTTATGAAGTCCATGTTGGTCAGGCTGGTCTCTAACTCCTGACCTCAGGAGATCTGCCCAGCTTGGCTTCCCAAAATGCTGGGATTATAGGCATGAGCCACCAAGCCCAGCCTATATACCTTTTTGTTTTAAAGAAAGAATAGCATGGGCACATCAAGCTCAAAATTTGTACTGTCTGAGTCTTTACAGAAAAGTTTATGGATCTCCGATGAAGTCTGGCCACCATGGGAATTTGAGTTTTAGATTTCTGCTGTATCCACTGCAAAGGTTAGTGAGGAAGGAACTGCTGCCATTGACATAGTGTCCCTACCTAATGTTGGGAAATCACATTGCTCCAATCCCAAGATGCTGAGTTTATTTGCATGTGAACGTGCACAGAGCATTATCATACCACTTTAAGACACTTGATCTCAGAGAACAGCCATGAAGCCAAGACCACACTATTCAGCGTAGGCTTCTTGGCTCCCCCAACCAGCCGTAGCACCGGCAGCCTCTGCCACAAAGGAGCAGTCAAGAGAGTAAGTGGAGACACAGCCAGAGTTAATGAGATCAGCTGTTAATGGACTCGAAGTGTGTCTCTTTGGCACGTGACATTCACAGCTGGCCCTGCAGGTCGTGAGTCACTTAGTGCCTTGTGACCGGGTTCGGAGTGGCTACTGCCTTCTTTATTTTCACTGTAAATCTGTGCATAGAACGTGTAGCTTCCATTAGTGGGTGCTCACACATTGAAACACCACTGAATTTCACAGACCATCAGAGAACGGAAAGTGTGGATTAT